TTTACATTGTTTTTAATTATGCTGCTGTGAACTGTCCAGAGAGCTCCTGCTGTTGAGCAAGATAGAAATTAATAAACAAATAAACCTCCCCTCTGTTTAAAGAGATATTAACAATGCAACCCCATGGATGTCTACTCAGGAGTAATTCAGTGAGAGTTGCTTCCATGCGAAGAGGATCTTGTAAGGCATTAGGGTTCCTTTATTTATTTTATTAGATTTACCGTATTTTTCACTCTATAAGACGCACCTGTCCATAAAACGCACCTAGTTTTTAGAGGAGGGAATCCATGGAAAGCCTCCTGATAATCACAGGCACATTCCCCATCACTTCCCCATGGGCTTCATTAAAAGACGGGCTGCCATTTGAAAACACACACCGACCTGTGATTATCAGCTCTCACCTGCGCCGGAGGAGGGGGGCGGAGCAGGGTGTGCCGAGCACGTGCCAGCCAGGTGTGGTGCAGCTGGGCCAGCAGCGGGCCGGCAGTGGTCTTCCGGGTGGCAACAGGTCTTCCCGGGCGGTGGGGGTGAGCAGTCCGTCTCTCCATGCGGCCGGCGGGTTAAAGCCCACGGCTCCTCCTCCTCTGCACCGCTCCCCCTGAGCGGCACAGCTCTCACCTGTGCCGGAGGGCGGGGGGCGGGTGGAGCAGCGCGCGCCGAGCACGTGCTGGCCAGGTGGTGCCACCTGGTGCAGGCAGCCGGCAGCGTCCTGGGCATTGGGCACGGACACATTTGCTCTATAAGACGCACAGACATTTCCCCTTACTTTTGCGGGGGAAAAGTGTGTCTTATAGAGCGAAAAATACAGTATATCCCACTTTTTCTTACAACAAACTCAGTGGCTTACAGCATTCTCCTCCTCCTGTTCTCCATCCTCCTCTCAGTCCTCCAGCATCCTCCTCCTCCTGTCCCACAACACCAACCCTGTGAAGTAGGTTAGCTGAGAGTCTGTGGCTGGCCCAGCACCACCCAGTTGGTTTCATGGCCGGGGGAGCGGATGCACAACTGGCAGAGCGCCGGCCAGGGATGCGCTCCGCTGCGGAGATGGGGGACGAAGCCCCTCCACGCCCGCGGCCTTGCGGGAAGCCGGCCGCAAGAGCAGGAGGGCAGGCTTTGCTTGCGCCATCGAAATCCACAGGTGCGCTGCAGGAGTGGGGCTTTAACAGGATTCAGCGTAGAAGCACTTCCCCCTCCAGTCAAGGGGTGTGCCCAGAATAGGGTCACTGAGCAGCAAAATAATCACGGTGGGTTAAGCACAAGGCTGGGGTAAGAAAGAAGACAATTAAGCGAACGAGCACGCCCCGAGCAGCTTGACGTGGCCGGCTCAGCACAACGACGGCTGGACACTACCGGCGGCGGCCATGGATTCTGCAAAGGCCGTGGCAAACAGAGGTGGGGGCCGGTGCATGGAGAAGCCCTGCTTGGCGGGGATGCTTGCTGGTCCCTGGACACACGCGCAAGCCCAGACAGCCCTCCTGCTTCTCTGGCAAAGAAAAGCTCCTCCTGGCGGCTTGAGGCTTGGGCAGTCGACCGAGGGAGGAGCGCACCGCACCACACCGCTCCGTCTGCAGTCTGTGTCTGAGTGTGCGTTGGATAGCTTTCAGGCTGATGGGTTTGTGTTTTATGGGCCTCCCGGAAAGTTGCAAGGCCTGCAAAAACCTGGCAGGCAGGCTGTCTCTGGAACGGCCCCTCCTCGAGCAAAGTGCAGCCATTTGGAGAGCAGATTAGGGAGGGAGGTCAGCAGAGGAGAGAAACTGCAGAGCAGAACGAAGGAAAACCAGCCAGCCCAGAAGAGCAAGAGGTGCAGCGCAGACCTAAGTACTGCTGGACCTTGAGCAGGCCCAGTTCTCTCTCTCCCAACACCCAAATCAAACATCCCCATCATGCCTTTTCCCTTCTCCCTCCGAGTCCATTTTCCTTGAATCCTGTGTCCTTCTGGAGGGTAAACCTGAAGGCAGGCTGTCTTTTCACTGATTCTCTGTGGTCCCAGTGGCATTTGGGAACAACAGGACAGCCGCCCACAGCTGGCCAGTGGTGACATCTGTCGGGAAGCCTCGATGGCAACCGCGAGGCAGGGTGACCAGGGTCCGTCAGGAAAGACCCCTTCGCCTTGAACCCCTGCGGTGACTTGCGACAGCTCCTGGGTCGTGGTCCCCACGGCCAACTGCACAATCACAGCCCATGGATAGACACTTGTATCCGCTGCTAGTCGCATGGAGCGATACAGAGGGTTAAGCTTCCAGATAATGTTGGAACAATAGGATCCTGAGGTCTTGAGGCCTGACATGATGTTCTAAACCGTCAGAAATACTGGTAACCACAGCATGGGAAGCCTTCCTGGTTGCTTTATTGACCTGTGACTTGTGTGGCCCTCTTTGCAGCTGGGATCCTGTTTAAACTTGCAAATTCAGGAAGTCTGGTTTGGCAACCACACTCGGCAGGCGCTCCCCTCTGTGGGACCAGGGGCTTAGGCGGTCCGTCCATTGGGAAACAAAGGGGCACCCTTGTCTCAGGTATTTCCCCACGGATCCTGTCAGCTCCAGCAGCTTCTCAGGCCAGCGATGAATGTCATCCTCTTAAAGCAACAGCAGCACTAAGCAGTGACCTGGCTTGGAACTGGGCTGCTTTCTGAGGAAGGGCACAGGTCTGACTCTATAACACAAAGGCGCATAGCGCAACCCTTTTCTGCCAGGATTTATCTGAAATTTCCCAACACATCCCCCGTCATGTCTGCTTCTCCCCCAGCCTGTAGGGCAAGACAGTTCCCAGAAGCCCTTCTGGTGGCTTCTGCGTTGCAGGTGGGGTTAAAGCTCTGGCTGGTTTGGCAGAGGCCCCCGCCAAGTCAGAGATGCTCCTGCCCAGGTAACCTCCTGCCCGCCTCACTTGGGACGCTCCGGTTAGTTCAGAGCTGAGCTGCTGGAGCTTCAGATCTTCTCTTGGTGGTTTTCGAAGAGCTTTGCTGCCTGCCTGGAGCCTTCGGAGCCCCCTGCAGAAGGTTGCAGTTGTGTTTCAGATACAGGTACTTGAATTCCCCTGCCCACAGATCATGAGGGACCACTGAAGGTCATCTAACCCAGCTCCAGTCCCAGGGTTGCTGAGAGCATCCTTGCTTGCTTTTGGGCATCAGGCCAAAAGAAAGAAGGAAGGAAGAAAAGAGTGAGTGAGGCTGTAATGTAGTACTCACTTACCCAAAAGTAAGTCCTATTGAATGCAGCAGAATTTACTTGTGAGTAAGCATACATAGGGACTGCAGGTGACGCAGTGGTTTAAACCACTGTGCTGCTGGGCTGGTTGATCAAAAGGTGGCTGGTTCAAATCTGCACAACGGGGTGAGTTCCCATTGCTCTGTCCCAGCCCCTGCCAGCCTTGCAGTTCGAAAGCATGCAAATGCAAGTAGATAAAAAGGTACCACTTCGGTGGGCAGGTAACAGCGTTCTGTGCACCTCGGTGTTTAGCCATGCCGGCCACATGACCACGAGGACTGTCTGCGGATGAACACTGGCTCCCTCGGCTAGGAAATGGAGATGAGCACCGCCCCCTAGAGTCAGGCATGGCTGGACTTCACGTCAAGGGGAAACCTTTACCTTTACCTTAAGCATACATAGGTTAGTATTATTAAGTATAAAGCCAGTTCTTGATGTTGTGCAGCCTAAGCAGAATTCACATCTTCAGTGGTTTTCAGAAATAGCTTTAGTAAAATACAGAGAATGAGCAGAAGGAAAGAAATACGGGGCTCTGTTGCATCTTATTTCATGAATGACTGAATATTCCATGCTTCTGTATTTCAGCAAATGCACCAAGAAATTATAGTTTGTGGTTGCATTGCATGCTAGACCTACTTAGAGTAGACCCATTGAAGTTAATGGGACCTAAGGCAAGCCTTTGTCAAGTGGGACTAACAATGGATATGTTATTCCATGTCCTGCACCCTGGGATGATCGAGAAGAGATCCAGGCCTCCCTCTTTGGGACAGCATTTCAAGTCCTTGCAGAGGGCCATCCCATCTCCCCTCAGTCTTCTCTCCTTGAGGCTAAAAACGCACAGTTCTCATAGGGCTTGTTTCCAGTCCCTGGATCATCCTTGCTGCCCTCCTCTGAACCCTTTCCAGCTGGTCTGCATCTTTCCTCAACTGTGCTGCCCAGAACTGGATACGACTCCAGATGAGGCCTAACCAATGCTGAGCAGAGGGGAACTCACAGGATGTGGAAGTGGTACTTGTATTAATGCAGCCTAAAATAGCATTTGCCCTTTTTGCAGCCACATCACAATGTTGGCTCCTATTCAGCTTGAGATCTGCAACAATTCCAAGATCCTTCTCACTTGCAGTACTGTGGAGCCAAGTATTCCTCATATGATAGTATTTTTTTTTCCATTTCTGTACCTTCCAAATCCAATAGCAAAAGCAATCAGGGTGGTTTGCGACAGTTCATAAAAACAATAAAATGACATAAAATCTGGTCAAAAATACAAACATTAAAACGGAACTATTAAGAGCAGCTAAAAACATTCAACGAATGTATATGCAAGAGCCAGTGTGGCATGTGGAAGTTAGACTGGAGCCGCTGGAGGTCTGGCCTCTAGTCCTCACTTGGCCCTGAAGGTCACTGGGTCACTTTGGGCCAGTCACTCTCAGACCACGCTCCCTCACGGGGTTGCTGCCATGAGAATAACGGGGAGCGATGCAGTCCTGAAAGCCTTCAATGAAGGGACCATTCAATCCACTCTCCGGGGAGAGAGTTCCAGGAGCAGGGTGCCGTCACCAACACAGGGCCGTTCTGCGGTACCCCCGGCCTCTCTTCTGGCAGTGGGAAGTGGCAGGCATTCAGGTGGGGACTGGAAGGGATGGGCGGGTCCATGTGGAAGGGGGTGGCCTGGCCACGGGGGATATCCCGGCTCTCTTCATTCCCTAGCTGGACCCATTCACCACCTCCCTCTTCATTCCCCCTTGGGGAGACCCTCTTCCCCTGCACGGAACATGCAGCTGCTCTTCTCCCCGTCAGGAGTGGCTGGACCTCAAGTGCCGAGGGCTGAGGAACACAGATGCCTACGTGCTGGTCTATGACATCTGCACCCCCGGGAGCTTTGAGTACGTCAAGATGATCCGTCAGCAGATACAGGAGAACAGGTGAGCACTAGGTAGGGGGCCAGAAGGCCCCCAAGGATCTGGGAGTGGCACCTGGGAAGTGGCATGGGGGACGTGCCTGACTGGGACCCAGGAGGTCTGGGTTCGAGTCCCCACACAGCCCTGAAGCCCACCGGGTTGCTTCAGCAGGTCAAGCACTCTCAGCTTAACTTCCCTTGCAGGGTTGTTGTGAGGATAGAACAGAAAGAAAGAGAACCTTGTGAGCTGCTTTGGGCTCCTCAAAGGAGGAAGCAAAGCGCAATATTAGTAGGGACGATGACAACAACTAGTCTTTCTACCAGATGGAAAAATTAATTTGAAAGGGGGTCAGCCCTGGTCATTTCAGCAGGATATCCTGGGTGAACATGCACAGGAAGGGCCTGAACACGTCTGGTGGAGTTTTTCAGGTGAGCAGAAAAGCTGCAGGATTTGATACTGGGCAGAAAACCTAAGACCTTTTGCTCTTCCCCTTTGGCCAGAAATTAGCAAGTTGCTAGTCCTCTTGGCCATGGGCAATATTCCTTGAAGTGTGGGGGCAACACAGAATGAAACCTTCAGAACTGGGGAAAGGCTAAATTGACTTGCCATGTGTCAGGCATTCAATACCCTCCACATGACTAGCAGAATAATGTATGCAAATGCCAGAAACACATGGAAATCTGCTAAAATTCTGCAGGACACCATCAAATTTACCCTGATTTTTAAAATATAAAATGCAGGGGCTTTGCTGATCCCCCCAGTGAGTTGCCTCCACGTTTCTCTCTGATCTCCCACAATACCCTTCTTCTTCCACTACAACCTGGAGGGGCAGCTTTGGATGACCCAGAAGCCTCTCCTGCCTCCTCTTGGTCTGGAAAGGAGCTGCGTTTGTCCCTATGGAGGTTTGTCACTAAGCTTTGCTGAGCAGCGTGAGGCCAACAGGACATGCGTCTCCAGAAAGAATGATCCATTTTCCAGCATCGCACCAAGTGGTCCTCCTTTGCTGGTAGGGCAGACAGCAGAGGGGGAGGGCTGGCTCCCCTCTGCCAGGCCCGGGGCCCTGCCAAGGGCATGTGTGTTGCTCTTGGGTTCTCTGAAGGGGCAGAGCCCTCATGGTGGGGGCCCCCAGTGCCCTCCTTCTCGTCTTTTCTGGGCCAGCTCAGCACTCTCCTCCCCTGCCAGGCATCTCATGAAGCTTTTCATAGGCTCCAGCATTTTTATGACCGATCATGCAAAACAATTTTATCTTTTCTATGTAAACCAGTGCATTCTGCCATCCTGTTTATATTTGGGACTTAAAACCTTGTGAAGTGCCCAGAAAGTTCTGGCTCTCGGGCAGTGTAGAGAAAGAACGAAGGAATGACGGGGACTCCACTCGCCTCTTGCCCCCGCAGGACGAGCAGTGCCAGCGAAGCCCCCATCATCGTGGTGGGGAACAAGCGGGACCTGCAGAGGCAGCGCTTCACGGCCCGGCGGACGCTCTCGGTGCTCGTGAAGAAGAGCTGGAAGTGCGGCTACCTGGAGTGCTCGGCCAAGTACAACTGGCACATCGTCCTGCTCTTCAAGGAGCTGATCTGCAGCGCCGTGGCCCAGGGCTGCAAGAGCAGCCACCCCGCCATGCGCCTCCAGGGGGCGCTGCACAGGAACAGGTGCCGCCTGATGTGACACGCGACCACTGGCCGGCAGCCGCAAGGGGCTCTGCCAGAGCCATGGGGCCCTCGGAGGCCCCCTTTCCCCTAGCCCCCCATCCTGGACGGCTTTCCAGCTTTTGCCAGGCGGGTGCAGATTTTACAAGGTGAAATTGCATCCCTGAAGGCATTGCTGCTGGCTAAACTCTGCTGGTGTTTTGGCTGCACCCTTTGGCTCTGCCCACCGCTCACCGCAGAACTTCTTTGAAATTGAACTTGGACCTTGAAGTTGCTCCCCACAACTCTGGGAGAGTGTAGGACAGGCGGCTCGGACCCAAGGAACAGACCTAAACCCCGCACAGTGTCCCAGCGGAGGTCAGGTCTGCCCTGGGCTCCCTGGAGCAGCCTCAGGGCAGGGCCCCAGGGTAGTGCTGAAGCTTGCCCATGGCCACCGATGTTGGGCTGATCTGGAAGCCCGGCTGAGACTCCACCCCCCCATGTAATTTTCCCACAGTGCAATGCAGCATCTCTCCAGGGCATTGTGGGGAACCTGAAATGGGGCCAGCTGGCCCGATTCAGAGACTGCAGCCAGCTAAGCCTTCAGTCAGGGTAGCAAGAGAGTGGGCCACTGGCCTGCTGGGGAGGGCCACCATGAGCCATCTGACCAGAGATGAAGGGCAGGCCCTTATCTTGAGCTAGTCCTGCCTTGTGAGCTGCAGGTTGCTCATATGCCAGGTCGGGAGGAACAGCTGGATCCTGCCATATTTGCCTTCGCTGTTGATCTAGCAGACAAGCTGCCTGTTATTCAGGCACTGAAAACCGGAGGGGTTCAGGCCACGATCTACTTTCCACAATGGAAAGGCTCTGCTCGGGGGAACGGCCTCCACCCCGTTTTCAGGGCTTCCCCCCTCCCTTGCCTGCCAAGCCACCCGTTCCACGGCTCCCCTGGAGCTCTGGGTGGCTCTTCCACGGCGAAGAGGGGCTGCCGTGGGGAGGAGGGGCTCCTGCTTCTTCTGACCTCACTGCACTCGAGCAGGCCTGGCCCCAACCCGGGCTGCCCCCTGGTGGGAAGCTTCTGTCTGCGCCGGCAGGGCTGGCACCCAGGCTGGACGCATGTTCGCAGCATGAGCAGGTGGCCGTGCGGGTCTTCAGACCCTCTGGCCCGTTGGTCTCCGGGCGTCACACCGAACACGTGGGCAACGGCAGGGCTCTCACCTGGCCTGGAATCCAGGCTTGATTCCCAGGTTCTCCAGGTACGCCAGAGCCAGAGCCCGGGTGGCGACCCCCTCAGTCACTGCCTGTCAGAGCAGACCAGGGAGGGCGGCCTCCACCCTAGGGTCTGATCCGGCCCATGGAGGCTTGGTTGCCCTCTGGGGGTTCCTCCCCTTCCCAGGCCCCCTCCTCCGCCCCAGGGCTAGGAGTCCCCAGGCCACCCCCGGTCTGAGATCACATGGGGCTCTTCCCTGTGCAGCCAGGGGTCGCAAGGCCAAGTCCCCCCCCCCCTGCAGCCGGGGTGCAGCAGCGTGGGCACGGGACACCCACCTCGGCTGTGCCAGCCAAGTCGCCTCCTTTGTGGGGAGGCACGGGGGGAGTGGGTGGGGCGCGGATTGATGGGGGCTTGGGAGGGAGAGTCCTCCCCCTGCCGCCATCCTCCAGGCCACTGGTTGGTCCAGGCAGGGCCCCTCTGAAGGCCTGTGCCCGGACCAGGTCCAGAACCACTTCCAGTGTCCTGGTATGAACTCTATGGAGCAAGCGGAAGGCACTGGCCGACCGCCGTCAGGGTGGAGCAGAGACCCGGCTGGCACCACGAGCTCAGGAGGGGAGTCAGTGAGGCCCCCCACAACACACAGGAGGAAATGGGGCAGGGAGGGGGGTCCTTTTTCCCGGAGGGAGCTGGCCGAGCAGCGGGTCCTGCTCCGCCTTCTCAGGAATTTGTCCGGAGACCACTGGTCCGCCACTGTCCCTGAGGGCCGCCTGCCTGCCAGGGATGTGCTGTGCAGACAGGCAGAAGGCTCCAGCAGCGGGCAGAAGGTGCTGCTCGCTCTCACCGAGGCAACACAGGACCGACCACAAGGCTTTCGGGCATGCGGGAGGCCAGCTTTGCCCTCAGATAGGGTGCCGCGATGAAGACAGTGCGGAGGAGCGAAACAGGAGGTTTTGCTGGCTAGCGCGGGCTGATGGAAGTGGGCTTCCCCACCCCCATCCTCCCCACAGCAGCCCCTCTCTCCCCCAGAGGGAGACTGGAAGGCCTGCAGAGTGGGGTGAGCTGCGGCATGGGCTTTTGAGCAGGTAACCCCGCAAATTATGGGGAGACCTGCTGGTGGTGGATCCATTCCTCCATCAGAAGGTCTCCTCCTCCCATGAAAAGTGGATCCTGGATCCAGCCCTCCAAACTGAATTCTGATGAAAGGCCAGTGAGCTAGTACTGAAAACAAATCCTGGAACAGAACTCATGCTCAGAGGTACCCTGCTCCTGTTCCAAGGACAATGGGCATGAGCACTGGGGAACCTGCTCCCTCTACCTTGGCCAGTATGGAGTGTGGTCAGTGATTACAGGAGTTGTAGCCCAAAACATCTGGGAGGAACCGGGTGGCTGGGCCCTCAAGGAAATCCTCCAGGCCTGACACCTGCCCACTCCAGAACCAGGTGCCGGATAATTTTCCCCTTTCTTAGGGCCTGGTTTTCCCCCAAAAGTGTCGCAGCTCCATGGCAGAGCCTCCGCTTTGTCTGCAGAAGTCCTAATTTCAATCCCCAGGATCTCCAGGACATGCCAGAAAAACTGCCTAGTTAGCTGCTGCTGCCAGTCAGTGCTGACACCATTGGCCTGCCTGGACATTATGTCCCAGCACATGTCAGGCTTCCAATGGGCTCAGGAAGGACTCTTCAGGGTCCTTCAAGCCTGTTTAATTGATCCGGGGGTGACCTTCCCAACTTCCCCCAGCTGTTTGGGATTTCAGTGCCCATTAGCCACAGCCATCACAAACAAAAGTCTGATTATCTCCCTCCTTCCTCAGTCTGCTGACCATTTTCTCCATGGACAGCACGAGTTTCTTGAAGACCTCTGCCCAGAAATGGCTCCACTCTGCAGGGGACACACCCCTCGGTTTGGCTCTCTAAGATAAGGGTTGGATCCAGGACCTGCCTTCAGTGAGGGGAAGAGCTCGGCTGGGTGGACCATCTGCCTAATTTTGGGGAGGGCCCTTCTCCCCACATGCCACAGCTCACGCCATTCTTGGAGCTTCTGGTCGATGTGGCTCTTCCCAGTGCTGGAGGGGATGAGTGGGGCGGAGGGAGAAGGGAAGGCTACACCCAACAGTGCAGTTGATCCAGCTGGAGCCACCGCAGGCCTCATTCATCACAATCCGTTTGGAATTCTTTCCAGCCAAGGGCTATCCATCACCCTTCTGCAAATTCTCCCAGCCTCAGGAGGACAATACAGAGCGGCCTTCAACGGGGCTCTTCTTTGCTTGTTTGCAGATTGTTCGTGTATTATTATTGCTATTCTTGTTGTTATTTTAAAATGATACGAATGGGGAGAAGTAATTTGACTACACACGATCATCCTGTTTAATTCCTGAAAGCTGGAAGCAGGGGATGGGCTGCAGCCTGCTCCTGTCAGCTGCCCCCTTGTGGCCCAGTGAGCTCAGAACAGGAGGCACCCGTGTGCAGGACTGGATTAACTCAAGGTGCAGGAGGGCTGGTTGGCATTTGTTTCACAGTGCAAATTTTCTCAGGGCATTAGCCACAGCTGTAAGTTCAACAGCACCTCCTAATTCCGAAGCCCACTATCAGGGAGGGCAACCTCTGGCATGCAGAGGTGGCCAATATGGCCCGCAGTGGTTGGACAGGTCCACGGGCCCTGTCTTCTGGCCGGGAAGCTGGGAAGCATTCCTAGGTGGATGCAGTGAGAGTCCCTTTACCTGCTTTCCTTCCCAAGAGGGAATCCCCAACCCTGGGGATCTGGTTGGTCCTATGGGGGCTTCTGATGCCCAGCCCAGCGGGCAGCCCACTCTTGCAGTCCCTGTTCTTTTCCCAGTGTTCAGCAGGCAGGCAAGACCGTCTGGCCAGCCACTGGCACTGCCTGAGCTCCCCAGCGGCCACTGGCTGGCTCAGGGCGGACCTTCACCTGGTGAGGCAGGCAGGCCTTTCCCTTGCTCCTCAGCGGTGTGGAAAACGAATTGGATGCTTTGTCGGCTGACAAGCCAGCTCAGGTGCACACGCAGCGCCAGCCCAGCAGCCGTGGGCAGAGACCGTGGTTTATTCCAGGAGCATCCTTCTTCTCCCAGGACCGCCCCCTAGAAGAGCGGCCAGTGAATGAGAAGAACGAGAGACAGCGCAGCACAGTGGTGAGAGTGTTGGGACTGGGAGGGGCAGATTTTAGTCTCCGCTGGGCCACGAAGCTCCTTGCATGACTTTGCGTGAGTTGCTGCTTCTTGACCTGAACTCCCTCACCAGATTGTTGCTGTGAGGATAAGATGCAAAGGAAGACTCCTGTGAGCCACCTGGGGTTCCTTGCAAGAGGAAGAAAAGTGGGATATAAATGTAAAGCAGCAGCAACAACGATATGGTGAGGATAATGGGAGGCAGGCTAGAGGTGGACAGAATCATGCACAGTGTGGAGAAAGTGGAGGAGTCGTTTTCTCCCTTTCTCCCAGGAAGCTGAATAATGGGGGATTCAGGGCAGATCAACAGAAGGCCTTCTTCACACCCCACACAGCTGCACAATGAATGTTGACTTCCATGAGATGGAGAGCAAGCCACCCATCTGGAGGGCGTTAAAAGGGGATGGACCGTTTCCTGGAGGCGGCGGCGGCAATCCAGCGTTGCCAAGAGTGCTGTCTCTGTGCTAGCTCCACTATCAGCAAAACTATACCCGTGCCCACCAGCTGCTGGCAGAAGGATGTTCTTGCCTGCGGCTTGTGGGTTCCCTGTTCGCAGCCAGCTGGGCCCTGCATGAGCAGAAAGCTGGACTAGATGGAGCCCGGCCCGGTCCTCTTAGCTCTGTGTCCGGAGCGCTTCCTCAGCCCAGGATGTGATGCCTCAGGGCCACCAGCTGGTCGGGCACAGGGAAGGGCCTGAAAGCACAGCGAGGCAGCTGGAAGAGAGGGAAGGCCCTCCGCTCCTCCCTACTCTTTGGCGGGAGACAAAGCAAGGAGGGACTCGGAAAGAACCCATTTTGACGCCCCGGCACACAAAAGCGCTTCCGGGCAGCTCCTCGGCCACCTTTAGTACAGATTTGGCACAGGGGCCCAATCCGCAGAAGCAACCAAGCTCTGCGAAGAACATTTCCCTGGATGCTGGTGTTGCATGACTGGATTGCCACATGATACTCAGGAGGCAGAGGGGGCACCCATGCCTCAAGCTGGAGGGGACTTGAAGGCCAGTTCATCCACCCCTTTGCTGCACGCAGGCACCCCAGAGAGAACGCAGTCCAGCCTTTGCCTGCAGGCTTCCGGGGGGGGGGGGGAACCCCTCCTCCCCACACCTGTTCGTGGGGAAGAGGCGGCCAAAGCCCGGCTGACGCCCAGCTGAGCTCCACGCCTGTGAATTCTAGCTCTGCTTCTGAGGGATGGCAACCTTCTGGGGATCATAAAACGTGCGGCCTTCTTTTTCTAGGCAAAGGACTCCCCATTCCTCCAGCTGCGTGGGACTCGCCTTCCACACGCTGGACCGTTTTTCTTGTGCTCATCTGAACCCATTCCACCTGGCCTCACCCTCTGCCTTCCAGAATGGGTCCACTCCAGCTCCCATCAGCACAGCCCGTGGCTGCTAATCCTCGGAACTTCAGAAGAGCACTGCCGGATCAGGCCCAGGCTCCATCCAGTCCAGCGTTCTGTCCACCGGGTGCCCCATGAGGATCCCAGCAGCCTCCTGCCCAAGTTCCCCAGCAAGAGGTGTGCACAGACACATGGCCTCTGCTCCTGGAGGGAGCTTGGAGCCATCAGGACTAGCGGCATGGAGTGCCTTATAAAACCTGTCAAAATTGGTGCCCCGGGACATTTCGGAGGGCATTTGTTCTCAGGTTGCCACAGACTGGAGACAACTTAATGGCACAGAGCAATGGCACCGCGATGCAACAGGCCATAGCGGTGAATTCCACACTTTGACTCTGTGCTGTGTGAGGAAGACCTTCCTTTCACCTGCCCCGAATCTCCCACGCACCAGCTTTGTGGGATGACCCCACTGGGTTCTAGCATTTTGGGAGGGGAGAAAAATGCCTCCCTTGCCCCTCCTCCCACACCATGCAGCATTCTGTGCGTTTCTGCCGGGCCTCTCCTTGCTCCGTTAGAAACATGGAAACTGAACGAGTCAGAAGGGGCCTCCCGGGCCATCTAGTCTGACCCTCGGCTCCAGCCGGCTCCGCAAATGACATGCCTACCATGTGCGCGTCTGCTCTTCCAAGTTTGTGTGGCTGTGGGACAAAACCTCTGAAAGGGGCCAGCTGGGCAATGCTGATGCACACCTGGGTGAGGTGCAGGGTGCAGAGAAATGAAGCAACATGCTTGGAGCGGAAGAAAACGAGAAGCTGGGCTCTCCACCAAGCCAGCACTGGATGTGTTGGGACCAGCATTTTCATTGGCCCAGCACAAGGATGTACATCCCACAGCCTGGGGAGCCAAACCCAGCCCACCTGAGATCCTCACCCACCCACCTGCCCACCGTGGCTGGGCTGCTCCCCATTCCAAACGGTGGACAGGCTTAGCAATGGCTAGGAAGCACCTTGAGCTAACAGGTGCGATTTGGCCTGCCTGAGCGGCATCCCTTTTGCCTTGGGCTCCATCCGCCTTGCCAGAGCGGCCCTGAGGCTTTTCCGAAACGGAATTTGGACTTCAGGCTGAGCGCTTTAGGGGGCAGCGAACACCCCGACCCACAGCTTGGGCTGGACCCCGTGCGGACGCACCCAAAGAGCCTCTGCTGCAATAAAGACACAGAGGCAAACACGCAATTGTCTGTTTTACTGTCTGGGTTTAACGAGCTTGTGGGTCAGTTCGGTGAGTTACATTCGTGGGGTCGGCTAGCAGGCGCTCTACGGGAGGCAGCACTTGGGAAAAGACAGACAGGTTCTCCGATAGACTTACATAAATATGCATAGATCAGTAAACACACCTACAGTACGCTGGGGCGGAGGCGGAGGGCAGGATGGCGAGTCCTCGAATGGCCCGGGAGGTCCCACTGAAGAGAAATTCATGTGCAATTCTTCAGCATCCGCTCCCCACCAGCTGCTCCGACGGGGGCCCCGGAGCAGACCTCAGAAATGCCATGCCCTTGTGCAGCGGGGGGCTTGTCCTGCCCTCTCCCACCCGCCACCCGGGGATGCAAGCCCGTCCCCCCACCCGCCAAAACTCGCAGGGCTCCCGGGGTCTCCACTTTGCCCACCCAGCCAGGGCTGGGTCGCCAGGACTCCTTCTCGAAACGGCCCCACAGGAGGCGAGGGGGGGGGGTGAGGTGTGGGCGAGACCAGAGGCTGAGGGATCCAAAGTGCTACTGAGTTCGGAAGGCGAATTAAAAGGAAGGTGATCCAGTCGAAGCAAATCGCTGCAGTGGGGAGCGAAACCCACCCCAAAGCAGGACTCCCTTGGGAGCCCCCCGCTGCATCTCCAGTGATCAAGGACTCCCCCTGAAAGCACTTCACGAAAAAGGAACCGCCGCGAACGCATCCTCCCCAGCCACGTGCCCCAAATGTGTTCCAGGCGCCGGCTGGGCCCAAGGGCAGCCACAGCCCCAAGCATCTGCAGGGCTCTGGCTTGGGGAAGGCTGCACGAAAGCCATGCCCCCCCCCCCCCCGCAGCCTGGGTTGAAAAATAAACTTAAAGGAGAGGACTTCACAAAATGGAAGGCTTCTTCCCCCACGAGTCCCTTCAGAAGAGCAGCACATCTGGGGGTCAAGGGACGCGCCCAAGGCAGCAGCAGGGAGCAGATGGCGAACGAGAGGCGCAAGCTGTTGCGGCAGGAGGGCCAGGAGCCCCCGGGGCCCCTCAGGCCCACGCGCCCCCGTCAGCTGCCCCGGACTCTGCCGGGCCCTGGGGCGGCTCCGCGAACGAGAAGGCGTTGTGCAGGGGTCCCCAGGGCCGGTGCTCCGCGGGCCGCCGGGAGGGGCTCTCTTTGGGCAGCGCCCCCCCTGCCGGGGCCTTGCTGACCCCCGCGGCCTTGTAGCTGAGTGGGGTGGGGATCCTGGAGGGCGCCTTGTCCGGCTGGGAGTCCGTGCGGGGCCTGATCCGGGGGCGCAGCTTGAGCTTGTACATGGAAGGCACACGGTCCGGTTTCTTCAGGGACGACTTTGGTCGGAGGACCACTGTCTCGGCGGCTTCCGAGGACCCGCCGAATGGCTCCCCAGGAGTGTCCCGGGTGAGCGCATGGGGCAAAGGCCCCAGGTGCCCCTCGGGGGCTATCAGTTCCACCAAGGCCCACGGACTGTCCAGCAGGGGCTCGGGGGCCTCCACCCCCTCCTGGACCTCCTGCAGGTCGTTCAGCCCCACGTAGTAGTTGCTCTCGTCCGAGGAGCTGGACAGGGCCGGCTTCCGCCAGCGCCCGGCCCGCTCGTGGGGCCCGGGGGAGTCCCAGAGGTCGGGCGTGTCGGCAGAGCCGTTGGGCCAGTCGGCGTGGGCCGCGGGGCCCATCTCGGGAGCCCAGAGCCTGTGGGAGGAGGCGCTTCGCTTGGCCTCCTCATGCAGCTCCGGCTGGAGGTTGTACTTGCTGAAGAAGCTGAGGGACGAGGACGACGAGCTGGAGGAGCAGTAGGCCGAGTCGGCAGCCCCCTGATCCGGCGTCGTCTGCAGCAGCCGGGCGCCGTCGCAGGGCCTGCCCAGCGGCTCCACCGGGCCCCGCTCTTCCTCCTCCTCCTCCTCCTCCGCCCCCATCATCTGCGAGTTGGCCAGGAACTCCTCCTCCAGCCGCCGGAAGAGCTGCTGCTCCTGGCTTGGATCGAGGTGCAGCGGTGTCCGGAAGGAGCGTGCCAGCTCCTCCAGCCCCTGCACCAGGCTCTCCGGGGACTGCCAGCTCTCCCTGGGCTGGGGCTGCCTCGGAGGCCCGTGAGGGGCCAGGGCCCTCGGGGCCCGCGGCTTCGGGGATGCCGGGGCGAGCGGAGGGGTGCGGGCCAGCGGCTCCGTCACCTTCGGGGCAGGGAGAGAGCCCCTGCGGCAGGAGAGGGCTGGGCTCCGGGCGCCCACCGGCGTGAGGTGGCCCCTGGCGGGGCTCTTGGTCCTGGGCGTGGATCTTCCGGAGCCCCCCACGCTCTCCCGGGGCTTCTCGGCTCGCGCCCACGAGTGCTGCCCGTCCTTCCCGCGGCTGATGAGCAGCACGGGGTCCCCGGGAGGCCTGCCCTGGCTGCGGGCCCTGGGGCGTGGGCTCCGGGCGGGCGGCTTGCTGTGCCCGTTCGCCATCCGGGGCCGCCCGCGCTCTTCTGACTCAACCCGCCGGGCCCCCGGAGGCGGCCTCGGCAGGCCCGCCCGATCCCGGGACTGGCTGCGGCTGGCCGGCTGCCTCCTCGGACTGGCAAGGCGCTGCAGGGCCGCCCCGTCGGGCACCCGCCTCCCAGGCTCCTTCCGGAGCACCGGGCTCCCCTCCTCATTGCGCCACCTTCCCGGGGTGCCGCTGTGCACGGAGGATGCCGAGGAGTCGCTGTCTCCAGAAAGACGCCGGGCTCTGGGCGGCCTGGAGCAGAGGAAGCAGCGAGACACAAACAGCAATCAATTACTTCTGTCAGACCGAAGAGCCAGAACTACGTTATCACCCGCATACATTTGGTCAGCCACCCTTGACAATCCCCCTGCAGAGTAATCCATATTGCATTTTTGGGGAGGGCAAGGCTGAACGAGGGCAGCCTGTTTGCCAGGGCAGCTGAGACTTCCCCGAGCCCCAGAATGCACGGATGGCCAACCGCAGCCCCCGTAGCTCTTCAAAGCCCCGAGTGCAGCCTGCTGTGGGTCGCCAAGTCCCCAAATGCCCTCCCCAGAAGCCCTCTGCGCAGCCTTTCCACCAGCCCTGCCAAAAGGCCACTTCATGTTTTTCCTCTGCCCTCCTCATCCCCTTTTCCTCGCATGCCCTGACTTCCTAGGTTACAAGCCTATGGGCAAGCACCATCTTGTATAAACCACTCCAGGGCTTTTTTACATGTTGAATATGATAAAAAATACTGGAAGAATTGATCTGAATACATTTGCTTCATTGACTACAGCTAGAAATTGACAGGACTGAAAATTCTAAGAAACCAAGAATATGAATTTAAAGGTTTGCTGCTGCTTTGCTGAGAAAAGTCCCAAGACTTTTCCTTTACCTACTGGCTGACTCACTGGGAAAAGACTGAGAACCCCACGTATGAAGGAAAATACTCCACTATTTCTTTGTTTATTTACTAGATGTATATCCTGTTTTTTTCTTACAAAGAACTCAGAGCAGCTTACAACATTTTCCTTCTGCTGCTCTCAATCGTATCCTTGCAACAACAGCCCTGTGAGGTAGGCTGGGCTGAGAGCCTGTGACTGGCCCAAATTCACTCAGGACAAGAACCTGGATCTTCTTCTCTTCTCTTTTCCTTCTTCCCTCCCTGCTCTTGCAACATGCTTTGGGTGGTGTTTCCCACCCCAGAAATCCTTGTAACCAAAGGGACTGATGAGCAATGGGACCTCCTGCTCCACAAAGCTTGGACACTGGCCTGCGGGAAGCCGTCCGGGCCAGCAGCACTCTTTGACGGCCACCCCCCCGGCTGCAGAGAGCGTTGCATGCGTGGGCCACACAGTATCTCCATATCATGAAGGCCAGAAACTTGCTTTGGTCAATGGAGAGGGAGGGCAGACAGAAGCTGAGAGTCTGGGAGTATCTGCATGGAGCACACTGTTGTCCCATGGAGTCATTGCGTAACGCACACACAAGAGCTCCAGTGCAATTAGTAACCAGGAAGCGAGATAAACATTGCATAGAAACAGCAAAACGCAACAGCAAAAGGGAAGCTGCTGGAAGGCAAAGGAACAAACTGATAAGGCAACTTAAAAGCACAGGGCAGCGGGCCTCGTTCCAGCTCTGACTGGCAGCAACGCCATTTCCCACCACAGATGTCCTTCCGACCTCGGGAAAGCCAGCCGGTCACTCCCTCATGGTCTCCCCATTCCCCATATCAGCATCTCTCCCTTCAACCTTCTGTAAAGGTGGGGATAGAAAAGCAACCAATCAATCAATCAATCAATACCTTTCATCCCCAAACATGGAGAAGCTGCAGCTTCCCAAAGGAGCACCGAGCTTGCCTAGGGCAGGGGTGGGCAAGACATTATTGGACTACAACTCCCATCAGCCTCAGTCAGCACAGCTAATAGGGTGGGAGGATGGGAGGGCCACTCCAGCACTGACTGTAGGGACTGAGAGAGGAGAAAATGAGCGCACAGCCCTCCGCAAAGTGCCCCCTCCAGAGCCAGCCAGGGGCGGGCAGTGACGTCCCCGCGCTTGCCCGGAGCGGTTCGGGCCTCAGAGGCAGAGCACCCCTTCGGCCACCAAAGGCCCCAGTCCAAGCCCTGCCGTTGCCCCAAGCAGCTGCTGCCAGTCAGAGTAAGCTACACTGGGGTGGATGGACCAATGACCTGGCTCCATCTTAAGACAGATTCATGGGTGGTGCTTGGGGGAGGGGCGGCAGCTCCGTGGGGCACATGGGCTTTTCCTATAGATGCTCTCAGGACAGTTCCAGCATCCCCCCAAAAATGCCCTTGGGTAGAAGAGCAGCGCCCCCATCAGGACCGGAGCTGAGGGCAGAAGTCTGGGGACGCTCGGCCAGAGACAGCGTGGGCTTGGAAATGGAAGGTGTGCCCACATAATGGAATCCAGGATCACATCCGGAGTTGGGAACTGCAGGGTTGGGAAAAGACCAAGACGGCCGCCATGGCCAGGAGACACGTGGCTCCGCGAGCCAACGGATCGGGCCCATCAGAGCAGCCTCTGGTGGTCCTGCCTGCCAGCCAGTCGAGACCCTTGAGAAGCTGCCCGCCGGCCTGCACGCCGATCCCGGACATCCTAATGTTAGTTTCTGAAAAAGGAGCCATGCAAAGCGACGCATGGTGCAGGAAACTCCCCGACGCAGTGCCTTGCCGTTGTGGTGGACTACAATTCCCATAATCACTGAGTGTGATAGGAGTTGCAGCCCCACACATCTCGAGGGCCCCGGGCTGCGGGAGGATAACCCCAGAAGGCAGTGGAATCCAGTGGGCAGATGCGGGGCAGAAACTCCTGCGGCAAGCATCGGCCGAATGAAATGCGCAAGCCACCGGGAAGGGGCGCCCACCCCATGGGCAAGGAACATTTGCGAAGGAAGGGGAGCCCGCAGAGTCGACGCGACGGACGGTCCTCAGGCTGCAAAAATCTGTGCGCTCGCTGACGTGCCTGGGTCTGGGCCCTCTCTGGGGCGCACTGTCTGGTGAGCCGAGAACCGGCAGCCCTTCCCTGCGCAGATGGGGAGCCCCCCGCCCCGCCCCATCCCGCCTCTGCCCTGGGGGCGAGTCACACTGGCTAGTCCCAGGGCTGAGGGCTTTTGTTCCCGTTTTCCCACAGGAGCCATTCCCTCCCTCCCCCAACACACAGACAACACTCCACAAGCTGCAATTAGGCCGACTCTCGGGTTTCATTGCCGTGGCCCCGAGTTCAGTGCTAGTGATTCAGATAATCACAGTTTTCATACACACAGCTAAGAAAGAAGCCTTTTAAAAGCAGGACTGCAACGAGGCTGCAGCGGTCGATTGGCCAGTTCGATGGAATAAAGAGACAAGAATGGACTGAAATTGGATACCAGTATGGGAAGAAGAGGAAGTTTCTGGAAAGGAAATTTCTAATCTGCCTTCATCTCAGCTCCTGTTTTGAGGCTGTTTTCTCCAGTTTTTATTCTCACAATTGTGATCACACGTGTCTGTCTGCCTCTCTGTCTACCAGTACTCCTTAGGGGTCCGAGACCGCACAACCTAGACACCTGGCATCCACTCTCAGGGCCCCCCAGTGCTCTGTCCCCCCGGATTATTCTGGTTTTCAAACACATCCATTTATTTAAAAGTGTCCATGAAGGGCCACAGCAGTGTCCTTGGCTACCGGAGGTAATTTCCAGCAGGTGAAGCCAAGACCGGCACTCGTGGGAATGGCGCATGCAGAACCTTCCCCAGAGGCTGTGGGTGCACCTGGCAGGGGAGGGGCCATGGCTGGGGGTGCCAGCAGGGGTTCTGGCTCTGTCCATGTCTGGCTACTCAGAGGCACAACGATTCTGCTGTATCAAACGATTCCAACCCATGCAAAGCCTGCTGCGTTTTGCAAGTCAATGACAATTTTGGGTGCGTTTTAGTGACAGCTGCCAGCAAGAATCCGCAGCCAAGCCACAAACCGCCGCCTGTCTTGGGACGTCTTACCTGAGCGCGTTTGTGCCATGTGACTCACAGGTGTCCCGGTGCGCCTGGGCTGCGGGTCCCCTCCAGGGGCCGGCAGAGTTCTGGCCGGTTGGACCAGGCCTGGCAGAGAGACCGTCCAGCCTCCCACTGGACGTGGTGCCAGGAATCTGCCTCGGAGGGGTGGGGTCTGCCTTGGTGGGGTGGCCGGGACGGTTTCCCTTCGTGTGGCCTGGGTCGCCAGCTGCCAAGAGCCGCCTGTCTCCCGCACGGAGGGGCTCGGCATGCTCGTGCCGGGCCAATGCCTCAGCCCGGCGCTGGGTGCTGGGGCTGGCTGCCTGGGGGCTGCCCGAGTTGGCCATCTTCTGCGGGGAGTAGCCAAGTCCCCTCGTCTGCGTTAGGCGGTGGGCTGCAAAAGAGAAGGAGGAGCGCCAGAAGAAGTGAGCCAACGTGGGAAGGGGTACCTGGAGAGACAAGGCAAACCGAACAGAATTTGCAAGCATCCCCCCAGCCGCCGGTCAGCCCACCCGGGGTGAGCGAGGCCAGTCCACTGGCCAATGGCCCTTCCTTGGAGATGTCCTTTCCAGTGCCATTTTCACGCAGATGATCAGCAGGAGTCCCGAAGGGATTTCTCCCTGCCCACGCAAGCACGAGGCACGAGGGGAGGGACTGGGGCAGTTGCGAAGAACAGCCGGCCAGTAAGCCAAGCAAACACCTGTGGATCCCGTTTAATGGGAATGGCTCCTTTCCAACTGTGCCACCAAAGCTAGGTCTGAGCACAGATGCTCTTCTTCAATGAAAACAGCAGGGAGTGACAGGCTCTTCCCAGGAATTATGCTCTGTGTTTATTAAAAATTCAGAAAGGCCTAACCTCCAAGCCCAGAGGACACAAAATTGCATCAAGTTGGCATATACTTGTCTAGATTTATCTATAGAAATTTAAAAAGAATTACTGGAATGGCTTCAAATTCTACAGCAGGCATTAATACCTCCTCCAAACCCCCTCCAATAAATTCTTTCTTCAGCTCATTTGCACCCTAATTTAGATCATTCCAAAGCAACAGGAAAAAATGTTTCCTAAATCTAATTACCTTGCAAGGGAAAAAGTTGCAGGGGGGAATAAAGGCCCTGCAGCAGGTGGGAAGAGTTAACTCTTCCCTCCCCAGCTATTACCCCCTTTAAAATCGTCTTCTGATGGCAATGAAGCTTCTGATGTAGCCTCAGTGCAGCAGATCCAGGACCCTCGAAAATAGATTTAGGGTCAGCAGTGGAGCCATCCTTATGGTCCAGCAACTTTTTGCAAACCCGGTGGGATTCCATAGCGACAGCTTGAATTCAGTGATGCCTTCAGGAGGTTCATGTTTCCTTTGCAGAGTGAACACTCGGTGTTTATATCTACTAATTGTTGTAAACTGCCCAGGAATCTTCGGCTATCGAGCAGTATAGAAGTCAAATAAATAAATAAACACAAAGCATAACGGCCTCATTTATTGTTCCCTCCTGTGACTGCCTTTCACCCACAGCTTGTTTTTGTGCTGGCACTGTCTGGGAGATGCAAAAGCTAGTCCCCAAATCAGGAAGCTGTCCCATCTCATAGGCAGGGGAGACAGCTGTGCTCCTGGCTAAAAGATTATTGTTCCTGTTCTTTTTTAAGGAAAGCCCCTTCTAAAAATTGCTTTTGACACGTGCAGTCCATAGCAAACAGCAGGAAAGGAAACAGAATTTTGGCCAAATGTGGGTCATATCGGTGCAAAGAGCAAGGACCCCTGCAAACCACAAGGGGGCGCTGCTGCAACACCACAAATTCCCCAGCCCTTCAGAGAGCGGGATGACCCAGAATTTTGTCTCAGTTTGCAAGGGATCCAAATTTGCCCCGTTCACGACTCCAAAGGCAAAAGGAGGTGCAGTTTGGGGTTAAATATTTCCATATTCCAAACTTTAGATCATGTCCAAAAAATGTGCATTAGTTCATATGTGCTGATCAAAATGCACACTCTTTCCATTTGCAGGAAACAATAAGCTCTCAAGCAAGAATGAGAGCAAGGCAGACCTAGGTTAAAAACGAAGTTTGGAGAAATTCAGCTGACTCAAAAGTATCGGGTTTTTATTCAGGGAGTCATGAAGCCTGGAATTAATTTAATTAATGATTTAATTCTGTAATTATTGTTCAGGATCATATTGCTTCCTGCCCCCCACTTTCCAGAACTCCAAGTGAGCTGCTATATCATTAGTTTTCTTGGAAAACCCCGGGGGGGGGGGGGGCAGGAAAGCACACAGATATGCTCTCCTTCAATGGCAGCTCCCAAATACATCCCAGAGCATCCCAAAGTTTCTTCAGCTGCCAAAAAGTAAAAATCAGACTTCTATCTCATTTCCTCATGATGCACAAGATCACAAATGGTTTGGTGTAACAACAAACACACGACCAGGCCTACACGCATTAAGCAAAGATTGTTTGGCACTTCTGCCCATGAAAGAAACACCTCAAGCTCTGTGCGGAAGAACAGGTGAAGGCGCCGGCATTTTCACAACTGACAGGTGTAAGGGCAGCAGTCTTTGCAGAGGGCCAAGATCCACCCTCGAAGCCTCCCAGGTCCCGTGGCAACATGGCCGTCCACCCGCAAAGACCAGGTCCCGTGGCAACGTGGCCGCCCACCCACAAAGGCCAGGTCCCGTGGCAACGTGGCCGCCCACCCACAAAGGCCAGCTGCCATGCCAACGTGGCCGCCCACCCACAAAGGCCAGGTCCCGTGGCAACGTGGCCGCCCACCCGCAAAGGCCAGCTGCCGTGCCAACGTGGCCGTCTTGCGCCATAGGCGGCCGATTCCACCGCGCAGGAGGGGAGCGCTTCTCGGCATCCCGGGCCGCCACTCACAGAGCGAGGTGCACCGGCATGGGTCGTGCTTGTCCAGGTAGTGCTCCAGCGTGTCCCAGCCGCCCCCGACGCGCACCATCACGTGGCTCCTCAGCACCTGGGTGGGCAACAAAGGAGCAACGTTTACATCCTGCGGGCAGAGTTGCCTCTGGAGAGGCCTTGCGCTTTCACCTGGAAGAGTCGCAGAGCAGGGTGGGTGGAAAGCCGAAGAGGGGGCGGCTCAGGCCTAGTGCCTGGACAAAATGTGGCGCAGCAGGGAGGGCATTTGACCTGTGCTGAGAGGCATGGGTTCAAATCCCTGCTCAGCCGTGCTCCAGTGAGCAATCTGGGGCCACCTGCTGCCTCCTGGTCCATGCAGGACTCTCCATACGGGCTGATTATGCAGAAATGCAGCAAAACCAGAGTATGGTACTCACCAGGCAATGACCAACCATGGATTAACTAACTGCGGGTTGCCTCTCACATCATGGCGAACAACCCAAGAACGGGTTTCTCGGCTAAACTGGATGTAAAGCAGAAGTGGGAACCGGAGGCAAGGGGAGTCCAGGCACTCACTGAGGCAAAGTGCCAATCCCACAGGTTGGTATTACACACAAATACAGATTTCTGCTTGCTGGGAATCTTAGGTTCCTTTCTGTGTTTTTAAAAGCAAGTTTCTAGCCCTCAAGGTGCAAAGATACATTTCCAGAGTGTGCCAGAAATATCTCAGAGAACAGAAGAATGGATTACTTCTAGGAGGCATGTCAGGGTATGCTCCTACTGCTTGGCATTCTTCCCCGACACTCCCAGTTTTTAAACACAGCTGGAATAGCATTGGTGCTTGTGTGTGTGTGTGAGCTCCCTAACAGCTGAATACAAGCCGGCAAAACCAGGGGAAGCATCAAATGTGTTTGCGTTTGTACAGTTTCCTTGGTTTATATAGGACACTCTGCAGTGCAGAATTCCAGCTCCCTTTTTGCCAAGCCTACCTCGCAAGGCTGCAGTGGGGGTAAAACAGGGTCACTCCGTCTCTGCTACTCAGAGTTCCCCTGCAAATACCATGCTAAATGGGGTTGTTGACTGAGGGCAGCGGTGGCCTGAAGAGACAAATTTGGGGCAAAGTTAAAGGCCAGCAGGACACCCATAATTTAGGGCAGGGAAAAAATCCTACAACTCAGTCCTGGCTGGAGCCCAGTGGGAGTTGTAGGGCAGTTTTCTGTTTAACTGGGCACCAAATTGTGCCCACAATGCATAATTTTTATTTTTACCCTTGGCTTTTCCATTCACAAACATGTTTGGAGGCAGCCTTAAAAGAGGCGAGGAAAGACCCCTGGGAAGCCCAGCCCAGAACTGCAGTGGGACATGGGACTTCTCAACAGTTGGTGGCAGAAGCGTTTCTCTTAGGGATCCATGCAAACACTGCCAAAAAAGAGGCCACGCATCACCGAAAGAGAAAAAGAAGAAAGGGCAGCCATCCAGAGTGCTTCGGCAATCGGGAGGTATCGAAGGTCAGGAGAGTGCCTGGAGCTGCGTAAAAGTCGCACGCGCCGGTTTGTAGGTAGAACTGCCTCTGTCGTGGCCAAGCAGGTCAACAGAGATGCGGCCACAAACCACCCGCCTGGCTCTCTAATGTGGCACACGTGGCCAAGGGCGCCTCCACCACTGTCTTCTCTGCCGTGATTTTAAGGATTAAGGGAAACATCCAGCAGGGGCCAGGGAGAGAGCCAGAGTAGCTGATAAAACATGCAATTGAGAAATTCTGAATCATGGGGCTGCCCATGTGGCAGCGTTTAAAGCTCTGATTAAAAACAAGCCAACAGAAAATGGTGTTGGATTTCAAGCCACCAAAGCAGCCGCTTTAAAGGATAATCCCATAACTCCCTTGATCCCAAGCAGCCTTCCCCAACCCTGTATCCTCCAGATGTGTCGGCAGGCAACATCTGGCTGGAGGGTTGTGGGCATCCTAGTCCAACACGTCTGGAAGGCGCCAGGTTGGGGCCCGCGAGTGTCCTGGGCAAAATTTGTTCATTCGAACCAAGACTGTGCAGCTCTTGGACTTCCCAAATATTCTTTGAATGCACCCATGCCAGAGCCCCCCTCCCTCTGTCTCTGCACAACTGTGGCCCCACAAGCTCTCAGAGTCCCAACATTTCCTCCTGCAGCTTGCCAGCGCCCCCTCCTCTCCCCCTCCAAAAGGGGTGGGAAAGAACTGGGGGAAAGTCTCTTAGCTCCATGCATCCAAAGCATCCCTGACGTGACCCTTTGGATCCCCCGGCAGGGCTAGGAACGCCTCCTGCAGGAATCCCGGGCAGCTGCTAATGTTTCTGCGGCTGAGGAGTGGGCCAACTCTTGCCCAGGAGGGCTGGCCGGCCCTTGCCCGCTCTCCATCTCCCCCTCTCCCTCACCCGCAGAGGCAACACAGACACCCATCGCAGCATCCCCGGAATGCAGCCGGCCAGATGGCCAAAGATGCGTCTTGCTCTTTCTCTCTCCACAACGTAATTCCTGTGAGAGGAACCACAAGGCCTGGGGGCTGAAGCAGCCCACAAACACAATCAGTGCTAGCCCTCGAAGGGGGGGATGCAGAAAGGGGCATGCAGGGCAGGCTATCTGGAGAGGGGCTAGGGCATCCTGAGCCGTGAGGGAGACCCCGGGGGCTGCATGCCACCCATGGGTTACCCACCCGGATAAAGCTGGGACCATGGACTTAGCTCAGTTAAGGAAGCGGGCCAGCTCCTGCATACATCCTTTCCAAGCCTTCTCAGAGCTCGGACTGGGTACCGCAGCTGCAGATCCAGAGCTCCTCCAAGGCTACAGGATGCCTGGATTGCCAGAACTGCCCCGCAGCAGCCACTTGCTTGGCACGCGGAAGGTACCAGGTCGCTGGCAACTCAGATTGGATCAGAAACGTCTCTTCTGAAACCCTGGGAAGTGACTGCCTGCCAGCGCAGGCGACTCTTCGGCTAAAGGGGCTAGGGGTTCCGCTACACGTCCAGCCTGCCTGCCTCGCCCAACCCCTGTAGCAATGAGATGGGAGATGCTTCTTACCCGCTACATTTTTTTGCCCCACATTTCCCGTTTCCAGAATCGCACCATTCCACAAACATAGCCTGCGATCTGTGCACACTTACCTGGGGGGAAGCACTACTGAACACAGTGCAATTTACTTGTGAGTAACCATGCCCCGGATTGGTGGGCAGTGGCGACATAATGAATGGACACGGCTCCATCCAAATTGGGCAGCAGTTTCAAAGCTGCAATTACTGTTCTTCAAATTGCTAACCCTAGGAAACATTTCTTTCGTCCAGCTCTCTGGCCAGGCTAAAATTAGCACGCCAACCGTTTCCCATAGCGTTCATTGCTGCTTTCTTAAAATTTAAACAGTGTAACACAAAAACACGCTGTTGTGTTGCCATGCCTGAAGATTTTCAGGGGCTGTTCCTATGCCAGTTTAGAGAGAAAAAGGCTCTGCAGCTCCCGGCTATGCTGGACTTTTTTCTGTCTGAGACTTTAGATGCATTTCAGTAAATAGCATTCCTGCCCCCGCCCACGCACACAAATGCTTTGCATTTGTTCAAAAATAACATCCAGACCATATTAAGGCTGCAGGCTTATCTGTATCACTGCACTTAGCAGGGCTTACTTCAGAGTAAAATGGGATTGTGTTTAGTATGGCTTACTGATTCTCTCCAAGTCAAATATTTCAGATCAGTTACCTTGCACTATTGGAAAACCGCTACTGCAGTATTCGCACGGCACTGCAACAGTCACAGTTTCCAGAGGAGAGATCATGCTAGTGCACTGCAGCAAAAAAACCAGCCAGCAAACCAACAACGGCTACTCTTGTGTGACACCTTCAATAATAACCTGGAGGTTTCTCACATAATGAATTCATCAGTCGTTTGGGGACCATAGGCCTCTTCAGAATTAACACAGTCGCCATTTTTCATTTTTAAAAGGTGCTGTTCATTAATTATAAGTCAAATAAACATACTGAAGAAGATCACAATTGATTTAGGACTTTTCCCTCCTACCAGGCACTCTCCAGAAGTATTGGAGTACTATTCCCACCATTCTCAGACAACATGGCTGTTGGGGGTGATGGGAGCAGTAGTTCAATGCATCTCAAAGGTGCTGGCTTGGGAACACTGTTCCTGGGGATGGGCAAAACCTCCAGGTGATAAATTTCCAGGTGACCGCTTGGGGCATTGGCTGCGGTCTAAAGGAAAGAAAAAGCTTTGCTCCGGAAAAGGCAGAGTGCCCGAGCCTCCAAAGACAGGTAACGCTGAGGAGCACTGGCCTTCCTGGCTCTTAGAGCTCAGAAGCAGCCAAGGGGCTTTCGGAGTCTGCAGGGGGGTCCTGAATCCGATCGCACAGGAGCAGAAGCCTGCTTGAGAGGAGAGAGAGGAAAGCGGCAGGATGGAGGGGAGGCCCCGCCGCGGAGCTTACCCGGACGAAGATGAGCGCGTTGGAGTCTCCCACTTTGTACTTGCCCTCTGAGACTTTGACCATGGGGAACTGGGAGGGGCAGGTGCAGTGGCCCAGGATCTCCCTTACCTGGGGGGGAAAACGGGGGTGGGGGAGAGACGGAGGTGGGGGGGAGAGAACACACAACGGTCAGTGTTTGGCAGCAAATTCACCGAAAACCAAGCCTGCCTCCCCCCTCCCCCCCACCCGTCTGTTCCTTCCCATCCCATGCCTTGGATCCTCAACCACCTACACTGATTTCTGCCCCAGGACATATTTCCACTCGCGTCACAGCCAAGCCGCTTCTCCCAAGATGTGCCACTCTTGTGCAACCATCAAACGCCGGCGTGTTCTGTTTACCCAACTTCAGTGAGAACGTTTTGCACCTTTGCAGTGTTGAGGTGTGTGTGTGTGTGTGTGTGTGTGTATCTCAGCGGCTAACAATGCCGCCTAAATGCATTTCGGCTCCAGGTCGCAATGCAAGGTGTGGGAAAGCGGAGGCAGGGGGACTGAGCGGCTTCTGCACAGCGTGAGCGGGGCCCTCGAGGGTGTGCCAGGGAACAGCTGCCCTTTCCCCTTCCATCATCTCCTCAAGACCCTGGACGGTGGAAGCAGGGACAGAGTTTCTTCAGCGCTTTGCACACATTTGCTCTCCTGTGTCCTGTGAATGGGGGCCGCTGGCTGTCCCTGTGCAAGAGCAACTCCCCCGGCCTGTGTTCACCTCCCCCTCAGCACCACAGTCTGTTCGTCCTAAAAGCTCGCAGCTGCTTGCATGTCTTCTGCTCACTGTGGTTGCTTTTATTTCATTCATTTGATTTCTAAACTCCCAGATTGTGCAAGGCTAGAGCCAGGGTCAGTGTGGCATAGCCAGCAGGGGCAGCTGGGGCTGCTGGGAGTTGTAATCTCACCCAGCTGGGGAACTCTGCACTGGGGAGGGCTGCCCCTGAGTGCTCGCCTGTGCAGCCAAGCCGGATTCTCTGGGATTCCAGCACAGTGTTTGGAGGAACCGCGGCCTCGTCTCTCTCTTGGCCTGGCCCACCTTGCAGGGTGGTCGCGAGCATACAATGCAAGGGGCAACAGTGAGGGGGGAGGGAAGAAAGCTGCTCAAAGGAAACCTGGGTTTAATATAGACAGACAGACAGACAGACAGACAGACTTTATTGCAGTCAAAGACCAGCGATGGAGCTGGAGCTGGTTTCACATGTCGTGGGCAAGCTCGGCTGTCCCGCCTCGATCGGGGACAGCGGGCGACAGACTGAGCCACGGGGATGGTTCTGCGGCTCCCCTTGGCAACCCGTTCACAACAAGGAAGTGCCCCTCCCCAGCTGCAACTGAGCGCTGTCGCTCTGGGCCAAAGGCCGCTTCCTGCTTCATGTTTTATAACTTCTCAGGTCAGGGCAGAGCCACAACCCGCTGGAAAAAACTGCAGACAATGGCCGGACAGGCAGTGCTGTATTGCTGCGCCCGGCACTCCTAACCCCCCCGGGCTCCCCGAGGAGCAGCCGGTGGCTTGCACCTTCGGAGCACCAAACCCTCAGGGCGCAGTGCTCACGGCGGCGGCGGCGGCGGCGCCTTCGAAAAGAGGCACAAGGCGCTCCTTTGAACAAGCACAACGCCAAGCAGGGAAGGCCGACCTTGCAAGCGGGATGCCCTCAGGCCACGTCTTGCCTCTCCTTGCCTCTTTCCGAGCGGCCCTTTTGCTGTCGTTTTTACTGTTTTCCCTGCCCGAGCACTGGCAATCTGGGGCAACCCAGTCGCATGGATCCCCAACCCACAGGAACCCCCTCCATGGGGATCCGCTCTCCTCCAGCAGATGCCGAGGGTGGGGCAGGCACGGGTCGCGAGCAGCAGCATTGGGAGGCACCCCCCTCCCCAAGGGATCGCCTCCGAACGAGCGCCATGCGGAGAGGCACCATCTAGTCCAAACTAGCCGTGTCCATTTTCTCTGGCTCCCCAGAATGTCACATCCTGGCTCACAAAACCAAGTCCAGGAGCAAAGGTGAGAAATGCATATATTTTTAAAAACACGCTTGAAAACCCAACCATGCCACACATTTTCCCTTAACCTGTCACAGTGGGACAATTTTAGCAGCGCCTGCTTTTCCGCAGAGCCGGGGTCCAATCCCTCCACGGAAGCTTTATGGGACCACCAGCCGGAGCGCATGGAGAGAGCACAGCTTGCTTCCAGCTGCGGGGAAGACTGGGTCCTGGGTGGCCCGGGGTGGTCTGGGGTTGTGGGGGGGCCCAGCTCGGCAGCAGAGGGCTTGCCTAGCAGGCCCAGGTTCAAGGCTGCTCCACTCCAAAGGGCGGGGCTTGCTAACACTGCCCTTTCAGTCCCGGGGTTCCCTTGGCAAAGCAGCCAGGCACCCGCTCTGCATGCAGAAGGGGACGAGTCCCAGCCCTGCAGCTGCCAATTCGGGGAAGCGACAGGGAGCAGAACACAGGCAGTCCCTGTGTCACGAACCAGTTCCGCTCCTGAGAAAATGGGAGTGAGTCTTCAGGTCGAATTTGTATGCAAGCCAGAGCACGCTCCACCCGAAGCGACATTCGGCTGGTGAAGGAGGCCGCAGGCCAGGAGGCGGAGGCCAAGAGCGTTCCGTGCGTGGCACCCTCTCGCTTTCCCCGTGGCCAAAGACGTCCTCAGTGTGTGGGGGTCCCCGGTTTGATCCGCAGCATCCCCGAAAGAAGGCTGGGAAAGACCCTGTGGGTTGCAGCCAGTCAGTGCAGGCCAGAGGAGGGGAACTGCTCTCAGCGCTAGGGCCCAATTCAAGTTTGGGGGATCTTGGGGGAGGGCATTCCAGTGGTGGGGGGGGGCTAAAGGTGAAGGCGGCGGGGCCAAAGGTTCCAAAGGCAGGTTGCAGCTTAAAGGTTTTGCTGACTGACACGCTTCCGAGGGGCGGAAATGGCACCCAAGCTGGGGACTGGAGGCTGGGGGGAAGGGCTGGGCCAGAGGAAGGGGCCTGGCCGTGTGGGGAGGGCCAGAGTTCACGCCAGATGTGAGGCTCCCCACCTTTGCTGGGTGAGCACTGGGCCAGTGTGCGGGCCTGCCCTGATCGAAACCCCCAACCAAGCTGCTTCCCACTCAGATGGCCAAAGACGCTGGCCCTGTGTGAGGAAAGCCAGCCACACAGAGAAAAGTGGGGGTGTTTCTGGGAAAGGCCCAGGCCTGGGTTTATGGTCCACACCATCCTCATCCCAAAAAGGTTTGCGGGGCGGAATGCCCAAAGGCCAGCTGTTCCATACAGCAACACCGCATACATTCGAAACTAAAAAAGCAATAGAATATACAATCCGTTTCCAAGCAGTAAAAAATACACAGGACAAATTCCTGGGCAAATTTTTATTTCATTTTTATATCAGGGCATAGCTGAAGCTCTCCAGGTGGTTTACAACAGCCCATAAAAGCAAGTTAATAAAATACAGTAAAAATACTACCAGATATGATCAGAGAAGCATTAAAAATGCAACGGCTTTAAACTGGCTTCCAAAAGAGGGCAGTGCTGATGCCAGGCATGTGTGCTTAGGGAACGCGCTCCAGAGTCTGGCTGCCACCACAGAGAAGGGTCTGTCCTTTACAGATCATTCATGTACTTAATTTCCAATCATAATACAGAGTAGGGCCTCCCTGGAGGATCAGAATGTACAGGCAAACTTGCCAGAAAGGCTGATCCGGAGTGAGTGGGCCAGTCTCCCCCACAAGTTGGCCAGCAGAAGGGCAGGGTTGGCACACATTAGAACAGGGATGGCAAACCTTTAGAGACCGAGTGCCCAAACTGCAGCCCAAAACCCACTTATGTATCACAAAGTGCCAACACTGCGATAAAACCTGAATACTGAGGTTTTAGTTTAGAAAAAGCAACTCGCAGCCAGTCCAAGCAAATATATATATATATATACACATCCTTGGCAGTGCACTGGCTGGCCATGCGAAAGCTCAGACGAGTTGCGGCTAATGAGTCGCGGCTCGTGACGTCATCGCCTGGTCTGCTACTCCTTTCCGAGTGTGCGCATGGCCTGCGGGTGATTTTATCCAGTGCTCGGCTGCTGGGGCGACTTGGCTCGCGTGCCGGCAGAGAGGGCTCTGTGTGCCTGCTGCGGCACACGTGCCATAGGTTGGCCACCACTGCATTAGAACACTAGACGTTTTGGACTTCTACTCCCAGAAGCCCCTAGTACCATGACCAATGGTCAGGCATGCTGGGAGTTGATGTCTGAAGACCCACATTCTGCCCACTCTTGCCCATGGAGACTGAGGTACATGTCCTGGCCTAGATGGGCAAACATACAAAGTGCATCTGCCTTAGCAGAACGTGTGCGGCGCAGATGAGGTCCTGAGGTCCTGAGGGCATGGGATGAATTGCCGCGTTGCATCTTGTTCCTGGCTTTGCAACAGGTCCTGTTTATTTTGCAAAGTGTTCTGGCCGTGATTCCCTTCCTGGTGTTTTGCCCCTGTATTCTTTTATGGCTTCTGCCAATTTCAGGGTTGAATTATTTGTGTCGCCAGCCTTTTGGTTTCTTGAGCCACCACAAGCCTTGGCAAAGCTTTTAAGAGAGATAAGCGTTTCCCCCAATGGTGGAAAAAGTACAGTGCTTTATTTTCCCAGGATGGAGCAAAATAGATCTGTGGAATTTTACAACTCTGGTTCTAATACTGCTCTGGCTATAAAGGAACAAGGAAAGAAGAGAAAGTGGAATTTTCCTGCTGAAACTGGGGGAAGCGTGACCACAACTTTCCACATTTGGTTTAGCTTTGGAAGGCAAGGAGGTGGACTCTGACAGAGCATCTGCTAGGAAAGCCTCGGGACTTTGGAACGCCTTCGGGGTGGGGAGAGGAAGCTGACCAGATCTGATTTTTGTGGATGGCACACAATCTGCTCCCGAGGGAAACGGAGGGCAAGAGCAGCTCTGGTGACGCTCATCTCACGGAGCTGGACCTTCCTTCAACTCCCACTCGGCCACCTTTGCACCTTACCCTCAGATGAGCCATCCCCAACCTGGTGCCTTGCAGGGGTGTTGACCTACAGCTCCCATCATTCTCAATCAGCTGGCTGAGACTCAGGGACACTGCCAGCCACTTAGAAGATCTGGGA